TATAAAAATGTGTTTTTATAAGGACAGGTTAGCAGCAATTCAGAATAACTACTCAACTGTACAATGGTACTTTTTTCGTGATATTAGTTAACAAGCGTTTTGCTAATATCATTAAACACTTCCCATTATAAATGTAATGAGTACACTTAAGAAATGAAAAAAATCACAATGGCCCCATTCACCGTCAAAAAAGAGAAATGGGCCTAATCGTACAAAGCAACCTCAAGACCATCAGGCTGCGAAAAAATTAAAGCAGCTACACTGAACCTAGTTACAGATATCTCCACGTCTATTTTATTTTGGTTTCAGTTTAAGGCTATTTTGCTGTCCGTCGATTCTGATTCGTTAAATATTGCAAGTTTTTAACAAGTGATTAAAATTGCCATTTACAATTATATATACCACACGAGTCTGATAAAATATTTCAGAATGTTATTTAAAAAAAAAAAAACTTTCGGCTACAACACAATTAAAGATCTTATATAGCACTGTTATATATGTACTATCCCACAGACAGTACACGCATATGTTTATCGATTAACAATAAAAATGTGTAATATTTACAAAAATAATGCGTGAAATGATCCAGTTCTCTTTCATACACTGGAGTTTTTATGCTGTATTTTCGTCGGTTTGTAATATTTTCTACATATAGCTGTTTCCCCATAGGTGTTTAACCTATGCAGATGTAAGGATCCCATTACACGCAGTTACCTCGGAGCCCCGCATTCGGCCGACGCCCATTGGTCCCTCTCGCCGGCGCGACCCCGCCTCTCCCCTCCGCGTCTCCCATGATGCCTCTCTTTGGCTACCAGCTGACTAGCCCCGTTCTGGAAGTGCGGCTCACGCTCGGCTAGCGCGGACGGCGAATAAAGCGTGTTCTCTTTCGTCCCGTCATAAATTCTCCTCGCTGGAGCCAGCGGCTTGTTAGACGTCCGGCGTTGTTGTGTCGGTTGGCAGGAGCACACGGGACTTCGAACGAGATGTGGGGTGCCGCAGGTTCCTGGTTAAATAGTGCGTTTTAGAGCCCACCGCCCTCCCCGGACCTCTTCTCGTTTCGGTAAGTTTCTAGCCCAACGCAATACATTACATGGCTTCTTTTGTTTCAGCTGCTAAGGGCCTAGGCGTGGATCCGCGACCAAAGCAGCCAAAGAGAGAGATCGTGAAGCGTGATAGGGGGGCAGGCATTTGATCTGTCAGCTCACCTTCCGTAGTGTGAGGGGATTTCCCCCTCCCCATGTCTGTGATCTCCACTTCAGGGCACGATGGCTCTTTTTTTCTTTTATGTCTGGATAGCCGGAAAGCTAGCAGCAACACTTCATGTAGAGTGCCTGCTAAGCTAGCCACCTCTCCTAACTAGTCAGCCAGAGGGGGACTTGGCGGGTGCGCGCTGGAAATTACAGAGCCGCCGTTTAACCTCGTTGTTAGTCTGGTGACGAAGCTGATTTGGGGTGGATGTGAAGCAGCCATTGAGTAGACGGACATGTTTGCCTTGGCTGGAAAGTATGTATTGTGTGGCGGTTGAAAGACGTGCGGTAAGCGGCTCCTGTCACTTCTTCGGCTTGTAGACCAGGGGTCTCTCGTAACTTGTTAGTTAACCGACGGCAGCGTGGTTCGATAGGCGCGCGTTAAAAAGGCCGAGCACGTTTCTAAGCGAGGAATCGTCTAACTGGTCATGCTTTCGGGTTATATGAAATATCTGGTTATAATACGGACTGGCTACTGGTTAGCGATACTGACCAGGTTGTCAGTGCCGCTGACTGTTGGGTTCTGTGGACTGGTGACTTGACTATAACGAAATTAACCACGGGTTGGGTGGTTAAATGGTTTTGCTGGTGAGTAACTGCACCCAGAAGTTGCGGTATTTAGTCACGTTTGACTTATCTAGACGTTAACTATCTGCGTCTCCGCTTTACACAAATTACAGATGTAATATTTTTAGGTCCAGAAAGTAAACTAAACAGCCCGCTCCTTAGTTAATTGCCCACAAACAAACTTTGGCGTTCAGAGAGCTATACCGTTATCTTGTGTCTGACTAATTTTGATTAAACTTTTTGCCAAGAAGTCCATGTAACATTCAAGCTGTTGTTCCTTTACAACATTTTACGCTGAAGCCCGTTTTCAATTTCACTCCGCTGTGGGTGTTTTTTGTCGAAGAAAATGATGGCAAATGAAAGTATTATATAAATATAGCTACTTCAAGTAGAAATTACGGGCTGAAAACGTGGCTTGGAAAATCAGGAAATAGCCGGTGGTTGAAGCGGTTTGGTATGTTAATGGCAGCCAGAGGTATGAAGAAACGTACGTCTAAAGTTGCTTTACATCTTTGAAGTAATATTAAGAAATGAGTGACGGAAGTAATTTTTGAGTGGAAATGTGTGTGGAATTTTGTACTGTTGGCATGGCTGGTTGAGTAAAAATCGTAAATCTGCTTCAGAAGATTATGGAATTATGTTGCAACATCATTTTTGCAAATTTGGTCTTTTTATAGGAATTATTTTGTTTTTATTAAGGTTAAGTCAAAGAAAGGCCTTGAAATTGTACTAATGTACTTGATTTGCTGTTGCGAAATCAAGGGATAAATTAGTAAAATGAAGACTGGAGGTGGGACAGGTAAATATAAAAATGTAACTGCAAATAGTATGGCTCCTGTTCTAGGTTATAGACATATAGACGAATGTAAATATTTGCTTGATATGGCAATTTAAAATGTCTTGTATGCTGGAAATGCCTGGGGAGGGGTTACTTCTCACATGTTCCCATTGGCAAACAATATATAAAGAGGTTTTTTTTTTAGCCACAGGAAAATGAATATCTTTATGTAAACCAGTCAGTAAGTGTGGGTGGTGATCTATTGTTTATTTTCAGTGGCGCAATACATTACAAAACAAGGGTTCAGGAAATGTTTGATTTCCCTGTACAGTCAAGCACTGACAGTGATAATGTTTTCTTGATGCTTTCTCTTTGATTTTCAGAATTGCCATGGAACCTCCACCTCAGTCAGATGGTTTACTCTCTCAAGACCTCTCAACGTGCAGCTTACCCTCCGCCTTAAACCTGACAAGGAAAGGCGAAGACAGTCTTCTCAAAAGCACTTCCATGGAAGCCCTACGTGTGGTAAAGAAGCCCACCTGGCACAACATTGGTTCCGGGAACAGCAGAGGACTTGTGTACTCTGAGAACGAATCCGACCACATGTCTCAGCCCAGTCAACAGATTCAACCAAACAATACTTTTTCTAATGCAACAGTCACTCTCTCGTATGTGAGCAGGTCTCATGTCTTCTCCCCCCCCAACTCCCTCTCGCAGCTACCCCCCGTTTGTGGAGTTCCCTCCATAAACAGAAAATTTTCCGGACACTCCCCTCCTCATGAAGCAGATGCTCTGGTGAATGAAGCTGGTAGAAGGGGTCTTTGTGTCGACATCGACCAATGCATCCTGCCGCATGCTGCTAAGCCTGTCATGTTGTCATCACAGTCTGAGGTGCTCGAGACCAGCACTCAGGCTCAGTTAATCGAGAGTGTAGGTGGAGCTCGTTTTATGCAGCAAGCTCTTGAGATAAATGGGAACAAAGATGCCCATACTATGGGTATGGAGAAACTTGAACCTGCACTTGGAGATGGATCCTCGGAATGCGTGCATTCTGAGGCAAAGGATGGCTGTGTGCTGAATGGCATTGGCAACAGCTTCTCAAGTCATGGCTCATGCAAGGAAAAGTCCACAGAGAGCTGCATTACAGACATAGTGGCAGAGATCAAAAAGTGTGACTCTGAAATGGTTTCCTTGATTTCAAGAACTAAGGAGCCAGTCGATTTGCTGGACAGCACTCTTTCAAGGAACACATGTAATAGAAATGGGGAATATGTTAGCCCTTTAGAAGATCCTTTGTCACCCCCTGCTACCTCATTGGATGAAACAGAAGATGTTTTTGTTTTGCCACAAACACTAAGCTCTCCCACTAGTGAGAATTTTACAGATAATGGCTCTGTCATTGCAGTAGAGGAGGGATCCGGTGATCTTTCTGAAACAGAATTTCCAGTGGCAACTGTGGAAGACGGAAGTCCTCTTCAGAGGAGTTTTAGTAACAGTGATGATGTTGAAATGCCCATCACCAGCAATGGAATACAAATACTGCCAGCAGATGTGCCAGAACATTGCAGGCCACTATCTGATCCGGATGGTGATCTGTTGAAAAACAAGGGCAGGTTGTGTGAGGTCCAGGAAAATAACACTTTGGTGCCTGATGACGCTATTCTCAATGGGAGTGTGCTTGCGCAAGAGAGGACTACCCAGAGGAAGAAACTTCCTCCCCGTTCCAGGAGGGGAACTCGCTTAGAGGCCATTGTCCAGAACATTACACCTTCCAGGTATAAAGTGACAACTAATTTACATTCCAGTAAAAAATGCTGCAGTTCTCAAACTCACCCCGTAAATGTAGAGGTCCTTCAAAGCCAGGATTCCCTAGAAGATGCATCTGGTTTAGAACAAGAGCCCAATTTAAAGACAACAGTCTTGCCGAATATTAACACTGATAACACTGACACAGACAAAAGTAAATCTTCTACCTCAGACTCAGAAAACTTAAGCACCTTCAAAGCTTTATATAGTACCACATATCAAGAACCAGTAAACCATGAGGACACAGAAAAGGACCAAGGTAACAGGTCACGGCCCAAGCGTTCTACAAGGGCTAGGGGAAAGATGACCATGCCAAAAATATGTCCAAGTTCTGCAAAGCAGCACAAGGTTTCAGTGGCCAACAAGCCTATACCTACTACTAGAAAAGCCCATATCACCAAACGAAAGCGGAAGAAATACAAAACTGGACAATCCTCCTTGTTTTCACCACAGGAGCCAGAAATCAAGCTTAAGTATGTGAATTACAAGGATGAAAAAAGGGATGTTAAAGCAGACAACTTCTCCCCATTTATACGTATGGAGGTCAAGGAATATTCTACATGCACAGTTATCAACTATGCTGAAGAGGAGAATGCAAGACTAAGAAAAGGACAGCAGCAGGTGTCTTCCAGGTTTATTTCCGGCATGGTTCCAACAACCTCTTGTTTGCAACTAGGTCGTGTTAGCGCTGAAAGCAAATGGCAGAACTCTCTGGTCTGCTGTTTATGCGGTGGGTCAGCCAATACCCTGGACCTTGGGGATCTTCATGGGCCTTACTATTCTGAGGGCCACAAACCTACCCCTAAGCCTCTGGTTAGTCAGCAGGACCTAAAGGAAGAGGACGATTCTAGTGACTCTGACTCCTCTTCCAGCATACGCCGAAGAAAGCATGCCCAAGGCGGGCGCAACTGGCCCCAGAGACCTAGTCACAGGCTGAGGCGGCATGATGTCCTCGAGACTTGCCGCAGGTGGGCTAATGACAACAACGGCTTGCAGAGCCCTTCGGCCAAGAGGCCACGGACCGAGTTGGCTGCTGGTGGTTGGTACAGCCCCCTTGTGGTTCCCTTGGACACCAGAGAATATTGGGTTCATGAAGATTGCAGTGTATGGTCAGCAGGTGTCTATCTGGTGAAAGGAAAGCTTTATGGACTGGAAGAGGCTGTAAGGCTGGCACAGGAGACGGTGAGATTTAAATTATATACCGGTTACCACAAATTTTCCAGAATTTCAGGTTTGTTCCCCCAAATCTGGGTGTTTGTGGACTGATTTTAGTATTAGCCTTATTTAAAACTGTATTTCATTTATAACGCACCCTCAAAGTGTGTATAATAAAAAACAAAACACTTCAGGTTTCTTGTCTGTTTTTCGCTTACCCAAATGGGCAAGTAAAATAAGAACAGGAGATGCTGTTGTATACAGTAAGTATGTTTTGAACTTTTAATAATAAAATCAGTTTGAAACTGGGTAATGCATATTTTAAAATAGTGCTTGTTAAAATAATGGGAAAAAGATAGGTGTTCATTATAGCTGCCAAGTTAAGCTCCTCTTCCAGAGAAGTGTACTGCTACTTTCCCGTGCTTTGTCTTGCCATGCACACTTATTTGCCAAGTGACAGGGAAAAAAAACATTAAATATTATACATAGAAAACTTGATGACTTGGTAGATCCCACCAGGTGTGTGTGTGTGTGTGTTGTAGATGTGTGGATTTACCTGTATTAGAATTCCACACTCTTAAACATGAAGAGTTCCTGGTTCTTGTTATTTTTTGATTATACTTTAAACCGTTGTGGTTTATGGCCACAGGTACAAGGTCTGATGAAACATGCTTGCACATAGGGCTGGGCAATATCATCGATATTGCATCATGCATGCTCAATAATCACCAGGGCTTCAGATGACAGACACAACATTTGGCCAGGCACCAGCTTTTTGGTGCTATACAGACACTTATTTATGCCCACGATTTGTTAAGCAGTTTAGTAGTATGGCTAAAATATTAATGAGGCTTTGTATGATGCCCAAAAGTCATTATTAGTATAAATACACATATCCTTATGTTTAATAAATGTGTCAGACTTTGAACTGCAAAAAGTACCACCACACCGCCGACGTCTTTTTACCTTGTTTATCCACAAGATCTCCTCTTTTAAAAGATGTCATGTCTGCTCTTCTTCACCGCGGCTTCAGTGCATATTGCACTGAGGTATACAAACCGTAGTATACCAAACCGTAGTATACCAAACCGTAGTATACCAAAACAGTATTATGTGGGGTGCTCCGCTAATCGAATTTAAGAAACACAAAGTTTATACAGATTACTAACTTTTGGGTATCACAAAACGCATCTCATAAATATTTAAGCCATACTACTAATCTTCTTACCAAATTATGGGTGTAAATTAAGGTCCGTATAGCACAGAAAAGCTGGCGTCTGGCCAAATGCTTTGTCATCTGAAGCCCTGGTGATTATTGCACATGCGCGATATAATATCGATATATCGCCCAGCCCTACTTGCATGTATTCTTGAGAGACTGCTGTATAAATCTGTAGTCTGTGTGCTTGTATTCATTTCCCCAGATTTGAATAGTGTTTTTGTTTAATTTTTTATATCATGGGGGTCATCACAGTACCTGGAGATGCTGGTAGGCTAGGTATGGCGCACTGGCATGTGGAATGTGTTTTCAGGCTTTTCAGCTTTTTGAATTGGCACATGTTTACATCTGAAGAAACATGATTTTGGGCAGTGATCTATTGAAATCCATCAGTGAAGCAATTAAGAGTTGGGAACCAAAACCTACATCACCTGTGTCTGTGTGACTGAAGTTCACCACTTCATGCTAGACTTTGAGTGTAATCAAGATGAACTGAGACCTACAGTGATTATTGCAGACAGTAAAGCTACTTATGTATTACAGTCCTTGACACTTGTCAAAGAGCTTTTTAATTGCTTTATTTTATTCAAAATTAAAAAGGTGTTCCTTTCAAGTAAAAAAAAAAGAAAAGAAAAATGATGTAGCTTGCATTCCATATGAGTAGGATTAAAATCATTCAGTAGGGATTTTCAGTATAATTCTGTAAGCTTGGTTCCATGATTAAATGATGAAGCATATAAGAATGTGCCTGCATGTGAAGACACATTCATCCTGGCACTTGATGCAGCTGACAGTAGTAAAGATTCTAGCTTTGAATAAGTGTCCTTATCCTTCAAGTTGCAACAGAGCCATGGAGAGGTGGCACGGAGTAAGGGTTGTGAAATTTTACATTGAAAGGGAGTCCTTGTGTAACCTATATCGTCTATGTCGGTCTTTAGTTTTGTTTACTCTTTGTCATATGTTTGACCATTTTACTGGCCTTATTTTATGATAAGTATTATGTATGAAATTTTTTACTGGAAAACATTTTAATTAGAGATGGGGCCAATCGTCATTTTTTCAGTTCCGATCTGATTCCGATACACAACTAGTGATAACGATACAGATTCCAATACAAGAGCGCTTTTTACTTTAATAGTTTAATATCATAAATGCACAAAATATTTATACTTTCTATTAATATTTTTAAGCTGGTAAATACAGATGTATGCTAAAAAGTGTACTTGAAACATTCATAACGTAGTGTTCCACCTCATTTGTACGTCTTGTTTTAAGCATTTTTGTGACACTTGCAATTCAATATAAAGCAACACATTTTTTTCTCCCACTGGCAGCACCGTCACTTACACTTCATCGCAATAGCAGAATAAGCTGTAGCGAGTACACAGTATAGTTGATTTTGGCGGCCTGTCTTAATTTTAGTTTTAGTCTAGTCTTTGCGTCAAGCTGTCATTTTAGTTATTATTAGTCTTAGTCTCGTCCATACTCATTTTAGTCTAGTCAAGTTTCTGAGCATTTTAGTGATATTTTAGAATTATCCATGACTATTTTAGTCTAGTTTTAGTCAACAAAAACTGATGAAATTTTAGTCAAGTTTTAGTCAGTGAAAATTGTAGTCTCTTTATTTTAGTAATGCAATTCTATTTTACCTAGTCAATATAGTATAAGTACCTAGTAGAATAGACAAAAACAAAATTTTCTTTTAGTCAAATGCATTTCACAGTTAAAACAAGGTTCTTATTATATTATTGTTGCCTTATAGATTCAAGAATACATCCATTCCAGACACGGAAGACGCTCTGATTTGGATTTATTTTGCCAACCAATTTTAATCCTGTTTGTAATATTACCAAATGAGATATCAATGTTTTAATATCAGTTAGTTGCCACTGTGCTGGTCTTTCAATAACATGGTTTGTCTCTGTCCTCAGGTTTGCTCCACTTGTCACAACAGAGGTGCCACCTTGGGCTGTGTCTTCAAAGGCTGTTCCAATAAGTATCATTACGCTTGTGCATTGCATTCTGGTGAGTGGGGCCCCAAGGGGCTGCCTGTCTGCATACATGCGAGTTCGTCATCTTTGCTGCATGTGGTGCAGTCAGACTTTATAGGAGATTTATCATGATGCTTAACTGACTGCTTTTACAGCAGTCTTTCCAGCAGCTGATTTCAGGAGATAAGCATGCCTGATAAGATTCTAGTGCTTTATCTGCTTACATGGAGTGTGTTAATGTTTCTCTTGTAGTGCAGCCTTTAACTGGTCCATGATATGTGCTCTTAGCAGTGCTCATGAATTTTTTTTGTGCCAGTCTGCCCCACGCTGGAAAAGGAACAATCTGTCTTGCTGCCAGATATGTGGTGAAAATTGTGCTCTTGTTTGTTTGAATCATTGTGGTGCTCTTCATTCGTATTTTTTGCAGATTGTGTGCTCAACGAAGAAAACTTCTCAATGAAATGCACAAAGCACAAGGTAATGTCATTTTTGCCACTTCAATAGCTTGCTATATTTGTCATTCACTTTTTCCCCACTTCTGCATAATTGTGGTTGTTTTATTTAAACTTACTTAAATCATTGCAAAATAACTTGCAGTGGCACAGATGCCACGATTCAATTCTTATTCACAGGCTAATGATTATATTCAGTACGATTTGGATCCAATTCAATCTGTTAGGAATGTAAAATGAAACACTGTATACTGTAACACAGCTTTTAATATTTGGAGAGATGTTTAACAAGCTCTAAATGGAACACAAATTTACAAATGCAGAGTCACTGGAAACAAACTGTGAAAACCACTAAAGAAAGGCCAAAGGCTTGTACACCAAAATCTTATTTCAGAAACATACCGGTATTGTTTAGGGCTAAATCTGTCCCTGACCTCGCAATTCAATTAAATTTTCATTCACAAGTGCCCAATTAGATTGAGTTTTGATTCTGTTAAATTTGTTTGACAGATTCTCTAATGTGCAATCAAACCAGATTTGTTGTAAATAGAACGACTACAGGTGCAGCACTGTAGCGTTAACATTGCAGAACAAAGCAACTTAAGATACCATTATATCACAAAAATAAGATGACAAAATACAATATTGAAATTTCTTCTTGTACTTGCCCGTGAATACACTGACATATTTTGTCCACACTTCTCTCTGCAGTTTTTGTATCCAGCCATAATTAAATACATGCATGCAGTCTTTTAGTCACTTTCATTTGCTTCAGTGTTACCCACAATGCAACCCACAAGAAATGGATAATTAACAATATTCTCATAACTGACAGCAGTTCACATCCAATATCAGTTTTTTCTTTACATTGTTTCCTTTATTGTGTTTTATTTTAGCAGTGTATTGAATATGACTGGTTTAAGAATAAAGCCCTTCTTGACTTGTTCGCATTCACATGTTCTGATTTCTGCACTACCACGCTGCCAATACTTTTACAACTCAGCCTATTCAGGCAAGAGTGAAAATAGCACCTGCTGTACAATAAGAGGAACGATACAAGTAAAATTCAGTGAAAAAACGCTACCAGCTAAAGGTTTTTTCACACCACAAGTTTTTACCGCCTTTCCATCTACTTCATAAACTGCAGATTTTTTTATTCTTGTTAAACATTGGAAGCTTTAGTGAATAAGTATAAATGAAAATATAAAACACCACTTCCATGTTATGGAAACTTATGTTACATCCTATCAGCTGGTTGTGTGGTTATGGTATAGTCACATTCTCGACTGTCCTTTAAATGCACTAGTTAACAGTTTCATCTTAAATTTACACTGTTCACTAACTCTACAAGGGACCTTACTTGTTAGCAAAGAATATTGAGTGTATTTTTAATGTTCAGTTTGTGTAAAAATGTTTGACTGGTAGTATATTTTCACAGGGGAAAGGCATAAATTAACTAGATCAATGTTGCAATTTTGTGAATCGATATCTAATTGTAAACCAGGATCATGATTAATCATAAAGTCAGTATTTTTTCCCCACCCCTAGTAGTAAGACACATTAATTTATCAGGTATGCATTGGGTAAGTGTTGTAACTGGTATATTGGGGTGTGTGTGTTTTCCTGGTGGGACATTGAATAAATGTTCATCCAATGGTTTCAGTTCAGAAAGTGGTATTTAAAAAAACATTTTGGAGTTTGAGGCAGATGTTGCTCAGATGTCATTTGTATGGTGTCATGAATAATCCTGATGTATCCCTTAATTGTCCAGAATAAATCATTCAAAGGATCCTGTAAACAGGAGAGCAGGTGACGGGAGAAGATGCTATGCAAGGTTAGAGTTTTTCTGTAACTGCATGTTTATTCCTCTACTGTTACCAAAGAGAAACGGTGACAGAAATGACTGGGAGAGTAGAAAGACCCCCATTGCTGTATTTCAAGTTGACGACATCCATTTGTGGTGAACAGCTCAATCAAGTGCAATATAATCATTACTACAAAGTTAAATTGCACTTGAAAACCAAGGGATTTTTTAAATGTTTATTATTTAAATAAGGAAGCAATGCAGTTATGAGGTCCCAGTGCTTTTTTTTCTTGATATTTAGAGTTAAGAAACCATTTTGTTCACCCAAATTAGCATGATTTCTAACTAAAAGTGTCTGAAATTGAAAAATAGTGTGTAAGCTATGATTTGTATAATACCTCAATAGTTTGTTCTCAGTGATGTAAACTGGGAAAATGTTCCAAAAACCATTTTAGAATGGGGTAGAAGTGCTTGTGCAGTCGATCTTGATGACGAGCACTAACCGATGCCTACAATCGGGCCTTTTTTGGTCATTATTAAACTAAAGGTAATCCTGATACTGATGCGTAATTGTCCCTGATATAGTGATAACAGGAAATCCAAAACGTCAGCATATAATTCTATACCATTGCAAGTAGTTTTTAAGGAAAATTTGAAACTGAAATAAATTCACTTATGTGAAGCCTTTTGTTTGGTTTTCCGTAATGTCAGTGTTTGACAGGTTGCTTCTTTCCCTAACAGATCACAGATCTTTCCCCGGCAGATTGAATTGCCAGCAGTCTGCTGAAGCACCTCTAGTCAGTCCAACAACATGGTTAAACTGGAAAAATGTGCTAGAATGTTTTTGGAAGCAAGGGTTCGGTTGAATGCAAACACCAACAAACCTTAATTGTTTCTGTTTTTTAAGTACTGGCTCCACCTATAACACCACTGGCAATCTTCACAGCTACCTGTTGTCTTCTGGAATTTGTATATTCTTCTTGGTCTGAAGCCTTTAATAATAAAACCATGGGTAGCTTAGCTTGCAGTTTAAAACTGTCAATACAGAATCTGGTTGCTGGTTCAAAAAGGCATAAACTTATTGTATATTAAGCCCTAATCCATTGTAAGATTGCTTTAAACTGTAATTTATTGCCATTTTAATTTGAACAAGAAATGTATGGTGTCATGTTTAAAGTAATTTTATTGGAAAATGCTCAATTAAATTTCTCAGCTGGATATATAGTTTTTACAGTTTTGTAAGTGCAGTTTTCAGGGGATTATTTATATTTTTGTTTTTGACTCTACTGATTTATTTTTTTTTCCTTTTCCTTTTGGTGAATGACCAGTTTGTGTGCGCATTTTCTGCTTTTATTTAATTTTGAATGGCAATAGTGTTGCATATTATTTTCCAAGACTGCACATACGTGTATGTGCGTGCCTGTGCGTGCACGTCTGCCTCTAGAGTGTCAGTCCTTGATTCAGTCATTGAGACGGCTGTCTTTTCAGAGGTCTGCAGGACGTTCTGCAAGCTCTTCATTGATTTCGCACATCGACTGGTGTGTGTTTGTATGTTCACCACTTGAATGTACTTCTTGTCCTCACTGCTTATTATAGCTACTTTTTGAAAGGTGAAAGGGGGTAGCTGAAAGCACTTTTTTAAGAGGCACTTAAAGCATTAATTATTACAGCTAATGTGTAATTCCCTGCACAGGCCCCATATTTGCCTGCAAAGCTCTTACCATATCCCTTGTTTACAATTGCCCCTATCCCTTCATCAGTGTTTTGGGCATTTGTAGAATAAATGGTTTTCAGCTGCCATATCTTCTGTTTTTGCTTAAATTGTCTGATTGGAATTTTAACAGAATCAGTTCTATGAGGTGTCTCTTTATTTAGGGTTGGTGAAGTGAAATGACTTAAATGGACTGTCAGCCTCTGTCTCCTATGATATTGCAATGCATGGCTCGATATTAATGTGTGCCTGGGACAAATTAACACTAAACCACCTCAGCTTTCTTAATTAGTGAAAGTACCGCTTCAATGGGGGGTGGTTTTGCTTGAATTTTTTTTTTTTTCTTTTTCTTTTAAGATTTCTGTTTTCATTTTTATTGTTAATGCTCTCTTAAACACTGAAAGTAGCAGTTTACAAGCATTTGATAATAGTTAGAAACTGGCCTTTGCAGAAAATACCTCACTTTAAAAAATTTTGCTATTGGCTGTTGTTCAGCTGCTTGCTGTCAGTGGCATGCAGGCACACAGATGTAACGATAATGTGAAATGTCGAGATGCCCCCTGGAAGATTAGCATTTGTTTTCCATTTAACTTCCCTCTGTTTTTCAAAGTTCTATTATAGGTATTCAGCAGTATTTAAATGGCCTTATAGTTCTCATTCCCAGGATTCTGTAATAGATCCTACATCTCCAGCATTTGTAGCTGTTAGTGTTAGCCATGTGCTATTTATTAGTAAATAGCGGAAATGGGTTGTGTACTCATTATTTCCTACAGGTAAATATGTCAGTGTACGGGGTAAGTGCACAGCAAATTAACCAGTGCTTTAATCTATGTTCTTTCAGCTTGTGTGTGGTTGCATTAGTAGTTGACATGCACAACCAGGCAAAGTTAATGTCGAGCCCTGCTTAAAGTTATGCTTCCAGGAGGACCAGTACATGAAGTGCCAAAGTGGAAGCCAGTAAAAAAAAAAAAAACAAAACTGACAATACATTTCTATGGTGATTACAACTTAAATTGGTGATTTACTCAGTTATTACCCAAAATTTGAATATGTGCAGTAGTGTCCCAATGTTTCTCTCATTGTTAAAATGAACTATGAAGAGAGGAGTCGTCATTGAAAGGTAGCCTGTAGTATCATTGGCCTGCTCATGCATATGTCGGTGCTTCAGTATATTTATGTAAAATTACATATTTAAGACTTTCTACTGTGTCTGAAGTACTACCAAGAGAGAAAGTGCTGGGTATTTTTGAATGACAATTAAATGGATCTTGGCTCTTAATGTTATGTGTTACCGGATAGGCCTCTCTGGGGGGGTTTTATTATTTTTATTTTTGATTATTTGTGATGGGGATTTAGAGCAAAAACTGTGTTGCATGTTGGTCCTGCCAGGGGGTGATTCACCCATAAGAAAACAAAGAGAAGGAGAAAGAAGTATTACATTGTCTATCAGCTGTTGTCATTTTTCCTGTCATGAATTTTGTCATAATAAATACTCTGTTCCTACCCTGTGCTGTCAGTCTGTGTTGAAAAACAGTGATGCCAAGTATATCAGATATTAGGTGAAGAAAATTCTGTATTGTTTAGCTTCCTTTGCATTCCTGTCAAAAAGCTTTAGTCAGCAACAGTACACCAAACATGCTTTTTTGTGTTTACCAGAAAGATTTTAAGGTGTAAAATGGCTACATTCTCATTTTTAAAATTTGTTTGATATTGATTTTTTTTTTTTTGTCTTTCATTGTTCCCACGCACCAACTGCTGGGTACTCAGGATTATTCAAATCTGAAGTGTAAGACTATTATTTGACACTGTTTTAAATTCTTCAGATATCCAATCAAAATACAGCCCTTTTATTTTTGAATGTGATTGGGCAAGTGTAAATGTACCTGAAAATGCAGCCAATGAAAACACCCCTTTCTAAAGGTCAAATATCAAATTTTGAACACTGTAGAGCTTGTATTTTTATGTGTTCCTCCATTGCAATCTGATGTTTGCCTTATCAGTATTAAACGTTTTTGAATAAAATCAGGTGTTTGTTGTTTCTGGGAAGATCGTTTTTAAACAAGGCGAATTTTCAAGTGTCATTACATTCAGGCTTGGCTTTTTTTTTTTAAAGTGTTCAAGATTGCATTCATTGACCATTATAAAGCTTTCATAGGAACTACGCCGTCTATGTGTCCATACGCTGACTTGGGTTATGGGAGACCTGCAAGATTTCTGCATGTTTTGCCGGGCTTGAAGGTATGGTTGCTTTTTAAATTGCTGTATAAGAAAGCTTTGGCTTGTAATATCCGTCAGTTTACATTGGACAAACTACTTCATATGTGTTCAGCATGTCAAAGTCGCATGGTATGGTCAGAAGTTCATTGCACATAAGACCCGAGTGAGTTATTTGCAGTGTTGGGCAACAGCTACAGTTTACAGCTTCTTTGTATAGTTTCAGTATACGGTATGCTGAGGTGATATTTGCATATTCCTCAGAATTGCTTATCTCAGCAACATGTCATTGGTATATTGTGTAGCTGTCACATATGGTCCACCCCTTTCTTGCAGCATATAATATTGATCGTATAGTTTTGTATCATATTTTGTATATAAATTTAATGCTCTAAATGGGGACTTGCGTAGGATTAGCTGTATTTTTTTTTGCTGTATTTCTTAAATATAGCTGCTTAATATATTTCTCAAATATATTAAACTGGAACTTTAAAAAGTATAACATACATTTATTAGATTACTTGAGAGCACACATTGAAACGATGATCGCAGTATGTTTTGTAACCTCATTCTCTGTTCATTTAGGTTTCTTGATTGGCTCCCTCGAGCTTTTCTGTTTTTGTGACGACGCTCCTCACGTGACAGGCTTATTATTATGGGTCATCGTGGAAAGTAAGTAGCGCTGCTTTTATCGGACATCGCCCCAATACGGGCACATTTATCGCGGTGTAGCGGACAAACCTTGTGGGAACCAAACGGGCTGGAAAAAAGAGCGAGGTACACATGTTATTTAGAGAAGAATAACTCTGCCAAATATAAGCTGGAAGCTTGACAAACGCCCAGCAGGACATTTTCATGCCTCTCATGCTGCTGCGTATTTCACATACGGCTCCCTGTTGACTGACTCCGTTGGTGATGAATGTTAGCGCCTTTAATTGTGTTACCTACCTCATGTGCGCCCATTGAAATAACAGTTACTGTCACAAAAAGGAATTTGTCGGAATATAAGGTGGAACTGCGTTTCTTGTGGTGGACGGATTGTTTAAAGTTTGTGGACTATAACTTTGGAGACATCTAGTGTTAAATATGTGTAAATGTGTGTCTTCCAGATAACGCGGGTTCGAAAGAGCTGCTTGAAATTTTCGTCGCCGTTCCGACGTTGAAATGCTTCGGCACTTTTTAAAAAGTCCTTATTGAATATATTGAATATTGAATATTTATTTATTTGCAGACTCGTGGTCCTTAAAAGCGATGTGATTAGGAAGGGTGTTTTCTGCTGATATAAGTAATTAATATATTCACTTGTATCTGGGGAAACATAAATGGGCAATAATGTACGTACTGTTTTTGTCAAACGTTTAACAGATTTCCTTTCCGAATTCGTGAACCGCCTTAATAAATTCGTTTTGTGGAAAAAATATTAGAATATATTTTTAAATATAATTTGGAATGTTACCCTTAACATGTTGGTATTCTGTAGTTTATTGCCATAGAATAAATGTCATCATTTTTTAAAATTATTTTTAAATGTTGCCGTTTTCTTTTTTACATATGTGTGTTAAACCAGTAGCTAGGTGACTGACGGCACTCAGTAATACACCCAATCATTTCTGACGTCTCTTAGTGGTTTAATGAGAAATGAGTTTGTATTACTTTTGAATCAAGTGGACAGATACTATAGTGTATGAATCTGAACGGATTTGTATTTCAAAATCCATATGTAATATGCTATGATGCCTTTTTAAATATGATGCTTTTTAAAACAATTGTGAATTTTAAATGACCCATCCAATGCACCCCTATGCTGCCACACACATTAAAAAATAAATCCCAGACGACATTAATGAAAACACACATTCCCCAAATATACGAGGCGTATTCTTTACAAGTTAAAACTAAATGATAGTTTATACACATTTTGTATGGTTAGAATGCAATTGATGAATTATAAACACTGTTCACAAATAAACTTACTGGCAGATTTTTTAAAGGAATTACAGCACATTGTAACCTCAAAGATACACGGCGTGGTCTTTCTTATGGCTCGTTAATAACAAAGACTTGAATAAAGGCGGTATTGATTGCCCCAGTTTTGCTAATTTTGGAGCAGATGGTTTGAACATGATGGTTTATACAAGAGAAGAGCATCAATTCACAGTGTGAAGGACCCATGGGAGGTGAGCTTTCGGTCCTGATTGTTTATTTAACTGTATTTTTATGGCTTAGTGTGTCTTGCATGATGACATACTTCCTTCTACTGGTTTATTTGAGAGAAAATAGATAGATGGATCTTGTATGTTTAGCTGTAGATCCACAAAGCTACTTGAATACAACATGGGAATTAATTCTGAAAATCTCAAGATTAAATACACATTAAAAAATAACATGAAATGGAAAAGTAAGTAAAATAAATGGCTCCAGTTGCAAGACACATAATGAAAGCTGTAAATGTCATGGATCTGTCTTCAAATAGAGCTGCTGCCATATTTCTGCACTACTGATGTTTATGTTTCACGTCATTAACTATACTTGCATACATTTAGCTGTACTTAGCAACATTTCATACTGCACCACATGAAATTCAAATTTGACATCCTTAAAGAAAAATAATACCACTATAATCCAATATAGCCTGTCTGCCGTAGAAACACATTATTCTGTGGATTAAACACCCAGCCAAAATACAAACCAGCATCCTCAGAGGGCCTGTGTCCTTGTTCCTTTCCCTGTGCATGCACTACCATCAAAAGCATTCATTAATAAGTCACAGCAGGAGCAATGCAAAATGACGGTTCTGCTGTACACTCCGTGACTTGCGGCCACTGCACTCAAATCTCAGCACTGCCGACATAGGATGGGATGCACTGACTTGCACACACTGAAACACACATGCACAAACCCCGTACCACTGCATTCTGTGTCTTAATTAGGCAGAAGTGACCTTGCAGCTCTTTCCATAGCTATGCTTGAGGTTTTGATGAATGTGGAATCAGAGGGAATAGAGGATAATGTTTACATCATTAGTAAGGTAAGGCATGGAGGGAAATTAATCAGATCTTTTTTTTCATGTCTTTTTTTTTCACCCTACTCTGTATGTGATTGATGTGCCAGAAGCTGGAGCTATGACCAGCTCTGAGGATTTTCAGTTGAATGCCCGGCTTCGGCGTTTTGTCTAAATCGGAGGCGCTAATTAAAAACAAGAGACAATCTGGCAGCTGGGGCTCTTTTAGCAATTAATCAAGACACGGAATGTGTGAGGAATCTTGAAGTTGTTGGATGCTCCTTTCTTACTAAACTGAAGAATTCAGTACTATCAATGCAAATTTCTTCAAGGAGGATAAAGAATTATGTGTGTAAAAATTTACAATGGGGATCTTTATGCTCCTCTAAAGTTTGTCAAACATAAAGATGGGATGGGGGCAGATGAAGCAATAGTACAATCAGTGTGCTGTTTCTGGCTGGCTGCCAGCACCCTCTTATGATGTAATTATTGGCAATATCTGCGTTGCGAGCTGGCACAAGCCATATCCGTATGCAGCAGGCGGCTGACACTTCTCAAAAACATCTTGCACTTCAGATCGAAAAGATTCATAAAATGCAGTGAGTTTCCATTTTATTTTATTTTTGATTAGAGGGAACGAACAGGAAGACAATTGTATTGCAATGACAGAATTGGACACAAGTTCTGGCATCGTGTTACCTACTAGCTAAAACCACTGAAAATATGGTGCATCAAAATGTCACTTGTACAGATAGACGAGGAATTTCTTCACATTACTGGCAACACATTACATCATGACAGTTTGCTGAAATTTCTGTATCCAATTTTTTTTCAACAACTATTGAAACTGCAATTTCGGTGGTGATGTTGTCTGCATCAGAAATTGACAGCTGTTGTTAAACTTGAAATAGAGCACATTGAGGTCAAAAGTGAACAATGTTCCTCTTTCCCCTGAATGGTGTGGGAGGATGTCAAAATGCGATTCAAGATGTTAGATGTGGAAAAGGACACCCTTGCACAAACTGTAAAATAGTCTAGAGTCTATGGTGAAAATAAGGTTTAGACTACACTTGCAGTATCGTGGAAATTGCTAGTGCCAGGAACAGGAATACCACAGCTTCTAACTGCAAAATATATTTTTTCTCAATGTATTCCTAAAACAATCATAAATCCATGCAGATATGTCCAAAAATACAACACATAAAGTTCTGTTCCAAAATGTCCCTTGTTGGTTTTTTTTTTTTTTTTTTTTTGCTTTTCACTTATGTTTTTTTTCTTTTTTGTTGTGACGAGGCATATATACTTGTAGCAGAAAATTCATTAATTTTTCACTTAAGTGAAAAGCTGAATTGCTTCCGCTACTCCACCTGCATCCAGGTCTCATATTTTTGTCTTGCATGTTAAGTCCCATCAAAAACAAATTATTAGAAAAACCCACATTTCATTGCAATATTACAAGAGTTCCCGTCTCTAATGCCCACAACTCGATCAGCAGCTACTCTCTATGTTTTCTCCTCTGATTTGGTTAGACAATAACACAACAACAACAGCATACAAGTACAACACAGTGAATAAAAACTAACAATAACTGTTTCGTTTTTTTTTAGCCCTAAGTTGTTTCAAGAAGTCATGATGGACATTTTCATTCTGAAACATTATGCAAGAAATTGTGCTACAGCAAAATTTCACATCAAAACAATATGAGCATATCTTTTATAAACACAATGTCATTTTTGTAAAGATATGCTTTTCTTGGATTACCTCCATGCAGTTTTGAAAATAAGCTTTCATATAACTTCAATAACTTTCTTCTGTTAACAAAATGTAGAAAATTATAATCAACCAACAATGCGTCATTAATCAGCATTATTGTTTTAAAATGAAAGCAATATTCCAGAGAACAAGGAAAAAAATATTTTCTAAACATACTTCAAACTGATATTTTTAGAAAAAAGTGCCGCCTTAAAACTGCGATGAAAACATCATAAAATCCCCAACACGTTTTAGTCAGATTAAATTACAACCTTCAAATGACTGTGCAGAGATGGGTCAGCTGAAATAGTTTGGTCTCAGATACACTGTCCATTACGGTTTTATGACTTCCAGCTCTTCAATAATCTCTACACTGCAATAAACATTATTGCTTTTATGATCTGCACCAGTGGATCTCTGCCTAGAACCAATGGGCTCTCAGACGGCCCAATTTGCATACGTCTGTCCCATACACATAGTGAATGTTTCCAGTTTTTGCCTTCATCAAATAAAGGAAAGATGTTAAATCAATGGTTTGCTTAAGATTTATGCAAATGGCATGTTGGGAGATGACCTACAAGTAGAATTTACAGCACATTTATTAAATTAAAAATTGATAAAAACAAGCCTTGAATGTGCTGTTAAGTAAAATTCCTTCCCAATAAACAGTGGCCATTTTCCATGCAGCCCCATAGTTCAGGGGTAAAATGTTCCAGTAATTTAGCGAGAAAGAAAAAAAACATTTAGGCTGGAATTTTAAGAACATCGTTATAGACACCACCATGCTTGACCAAACCAAACAGGTCTACATCACCTATCAGAAATTAAATGTAATAAGTTCTTGGTGATCTCTGAATGTTTTGAAAAACAAACATGGAAATTCAGTGAAGCGCTGGTTTTTTGAGGAAGCTAAAGATGCAGCAAAAGTGATAAAAGAAAGCTAGTTAATCTCTGTAAAGTTTTCGGATATTAGAGCATGGTCAAGGTTCATTGTTTTATGTCAAGCCCATTGAGAGCATGTAAAACCTTATTTTTTTCCCCCCAAATTTAACGTATCTTCCTGTGAACAAATACAAAAAATACGCCTGATGGACTTTCAAACATGTGACAGATATCACTCCCACAAGAAACAAAACAATATTACCTGTTATTGAAAATCAGAAATAAAACAGAATGGAAACAATAAACATATCAACATATCTGTGAAAACACTGATATGTGCGCTGACCTTTATAGGATATATGAAATATATCTATCTGAACTGTACATTCCAAACTCTAATTGCAAGCATGATTGTTATTGATATGATTCCTAATCCCACTCAGGTTTACTGATTTAAAGATACCGGTGCTGTATTTTCAGCAAGAATCACCCACAAGCCAAATATCTTTCTGTCAGGGCACACACTTGAAACAGCCACGACATCAAGCTTGTCACCTTCTGGGTCCAAAGAAGGTGACATTTAGCCATTCTTTCCCTGGGTAAAAGTCACCGATTAAACAGACACATGACGAAGTGTCCCATTTCGGGAAGGTGGCGCTTGAGATCAGGAGATAATGTCACTCCCACGCTGCATTACGGAGCGATAACTGCTAATGGTTTAAAAACGCCAAACTAAAGATGTCCAAACCAAGTGCAGGAAACAGAAATGAGCGTGTGCTACAATGGCGGAAGTGCAGAGAAAGACTGCACAGCATCAAATTCCATTTGGCACTGCAGCGGTAACAAACCCAGGTATTTAAATAAGTTAGATAAGTCAACATCTAAAGCTACTTTACAAAATCAATAGAAAAAATATATTTCTGTTAATTTAGGATTCAAATAAATAATGTAAACCCAAAGGCAAGAAAAAAAGTGGTCAATCCATAGTACCCTGGAAAAGGTACGATTCATACATACAGAAAATAAGGAAATTCACGCACGCTCAGTACCACGAACCACATCGCATTTACAGTAAAGGTCATAGTAAATTAAACTGTTGTTTGCGTTTTTTTCCCTCAAGAAACATTGTGATGGCATGTTTTACGGTGCTGCATCAGTAACAGCTTCAAAAATACGGATAAAATAATTTGTTGCAATGTATCTTCATTTCAGTGTCACCTAGTTTCTCCTGAAATGCTCAAATGTATAACTCCTTTTTAGATTTTTCACTCGTGTTTCTTAAAATATTTTTTTCATGTTATTCAATTTGTTTTGCAGGAAAATGATAAACATATTGCTTTAAGAGATTTGGTCGACTCCTCACAGGTAACCAAGCTAGCTAGTTTGTAGCACAACTAGCTCTCTGATTACCTCGGTGTGGTTCCCTTCCCTCCTACGTTGGTTTTATTTCTGTTCAGCCTGATGGCGAGGTGGGATGTCTGCAGAGCGGGTCACACCTTAAGGGTGAGGAAGTATCTTCTGGGAGTGGCGGAGCATGTGAGGCCCAGCAGCATCTTTAGGAATGTTAGTTAAAAGCCCTCAGTTGAAATTTTGTCCACATGAAGCCACCCTCTGCTGAACAGCAACAAGAGTCATCTGGGGATCAGATCGCCAAACAGCAGCCACAATCACTAATTTTAACATTTTTTTCCCCACAGAAAGATCCTAAATTAATACTATTGTTTTCCAATAATTTATAATTATAATTTTTTTAATTCTAAGGATAGTTTAAGCATGTGTAAGAGAGAGTAGTAACGACGAGGGACAAAGCAGTCAGCAATTTCGACGCCGGCACCCTACACACATATCTCTATCGGCGTCGCTACCAGAATGCGGCCACCAGGGGCACTGTCACGAGAGACGCGCTCGTAGCTGCCGGGGGGGGAGAGTGAGCCATTGGTGGACACGGAGGAAAAGTGGTGGGCTGCTGGCTCCATGACAACGCTGCCCTTTGCCACGCCACACGGGGGCGACAGTGTCTGCTGCTTCATGCGGTCCACAAGCAAGTCCTCTTCGGAGGAGGACGGGCTGATCTCGGTGCCGGGGTGACCGCTGGCACCGCCACTTTCGTTGTCTAGCATCCAGCAGTGGTTGTAGTAGTTGAAGACCTCCTTGACGGGGCAGCGGCGGTCCTGCTCGATGGAGAGCAGCTTGCGGAACATGCGGAGCGCGTCGTCCGTGAAGCGCCGCCATTGCGAGGGCACCGAGCCGCCCCGGCGGCGCTGCCACCGCACAAACTCCTCGTAGAAGGTGTCAGAGGGCAGGGCCTTCTCCCAGGGGAAGTTCCCGGTGAGCATGCAGAAGAGGAGCACACCGAAAGCCCACACGTCGGTGCTGTAGTCCACGCAGAAGCCCTCGTGCTTGGAAGCGTCGCACAGCTCTGGCGCCGTGTAGGGGATGGTGCCGCTGACTCGCTTGACCGGCGAGCCGGCCCGGCGCGTCATGCCGAAGTCCGACAACTTCACCTTGCGGCACTCCTTGTCGAAGATCAGGATGTTCTCTGGCTTGATGTCGCGGTGCACCAGCTTCTTGAAGTGCAGGTAGTCGAGGGCCACGGCCACCTGGTGAACACAGCGTTTGGCCACAATCTCCGGAAGACCTACCTTTGGACGGAGGAGGAAAAAACAATGTCAAAATTATACACATTTGTATAAAAATGACAGAAAACAAGAGGGAGAAAAAGAATATTTTTGGAGATATATCTATCTTACAGAATGCAATCATTTAACGTTACAACGTAATCATGGTTTTAAAATGATGCTCACATAGTTTAAATATATGTTACTTCCAGCAGTGACCATATACTGCTAACATAAGGTGTTGTCCTGCAGACATGTGAGGAATGTGGCTTGTTATGAACCTCATTATAACTGCAATTTGATACCTTGTTACTTTTGATACAAAAACGCCATATTCAAAGCATATCTTTGCATTTCTGTAGCCGTCGCTGAGGTCCCTGAGGCTGGATTCAGTAAACTTGTTTACCACGTCAGTCAAAATGAACCAAAACTGAAGAAGGAAAAAAAATAAACGCATCGGTTTCGCATCAATTGCACACCAGTCAAATCCTTACCTGTGGAGGAATGATGTCGAAGAGATCGCCTGCCGGGGCGTATTCCTGGGCGAAGACATAGTACTCATCCGTCTCAAAGGCGATGCCGAACATATTGATGATGTAGGGGAAAGAGGATAGGTACAGGGAGATGCTGTACTCCCTCAGGAAGCTCTTCAGCTTGGTAGTTTTCTTTCTGAGGAATTTCAGGGCCATCTTCGTGCCTGCATATAACATTTCCAGCAAGGGATTAGAGGAAACAGAGGTACATATATGCACTGTAAACACACACACACACATAAAATATATTTATATCCATCTTCAGACTTCCTCTCCTGGTGTGGATCATGGTTACACATACACATGCTGCATCTTTACAAACATCCGTGGGTATAAATGCAAAAACCTGCAAGTCACCTCAAATACCAAGCAAATATTGCAACTTTAATACAAATGTAAAATATTTCTTAATCTCAAATCATGTTAAAATACATTGTACATTTATCAGATGGCATCAAACTATTATAGCTCTATAATAGATGATGTAATTAATAAATGCATCTAACAATCAAATATCTTTTTGGATCTAATTATAGAAATGATTCCTAAGGCAGCTGGGGAGAAGAAATTAATCAGGATATTACTGTCCATTTTGATATAATCACACACATCTTCTCATCCATCACATGACCACCTTCTGTACATTCATTGGGTGCAATTCATACAGAGATCTACCAACCACACATACCAAGGAGAAAACAAGGCTTCAATGCTATATTTTGCCCTTGCTGTGCTTCAATATGAGTCTGCAGGACAGTCTTCCTCAGCTCTGTTCTGCAGAAAGACCTGCTCATCCTGCACAGCAGCCATACCCAGAACATCAGCAGAGGGCGCATCTGGGAGCGCGTCAGCCGGAAGGATACGGTGCAGCTCTCCCATCTCCAGCTAATTTGCAGTGGGGTGCTTGACGTGCGCGGCTGCACTGGGCTCTGTGCGCGATGCGTGACGGCTTAACCACTGGGAGAGCTACAGCAGAAACCCAGCACTCCGCAACTGCCAAGCTTCTGGGTCTAGAATTAGCGGCAAACTGCTTCTTCTGTGGTCCAGCAGCAGCATCACCATTATTTGTCTCTGAGTTGTTCAGCTACATTTATTAAACTGTATTCAATAAAATATAATTCAGTTATAAATCTCCTAAGGGATTTCTTTTTTGCTCATGTATATGTAAACATCGGCCATCTGGCATGGCATAACAAAGCCAGACAGAATTTCGTCAAGAAGGCTACGTGTGCGTTGTTGCTCTTCAGTTCTCTCTTCCATTTCTGCTTATTATCTACAGAGGATGGTGCAGAGCTCAACCACACTGACAAAATGAAATATAAAATATTCATCACTCTTCTCTGATATCTTCGAAGCCATCTTCAGCCTACCTCTGATTTTGTGGATCACGAGGTCCACCTTGCCGTAGGTCCCTTTTCCGAGTTCCCGGATGACCTCATAGTATTTGTTGACCTCCAGCTTCTCCAAGTTCTTGGCCGCAATCGCCTGCAGCTCCTCGAGGATGTCAATGGACGTCCGCGACGACAGGGGAGAGGAAGAACTCATGTTTCCGGAAGGGATGGACTTGAAGCGCAGGACGCTGATCTTACCCTTGGTGTTACTGGACACAAAAATAAGCAGCAAAATGTCATGTCTGCTTCAAGGACAAATATGCTCCTTGTTAAGCCAGTATATTTTCACTAATGGTTTTATAGTGGGAATCCCAAAGACAAACTAACACAACCACTTCTCTTACAATATACTGTATATATTGTTGAGGCTAAAAGTTCACATACACCAAGTATCATGACTGTCAAACTCAATGTCTCACTACTCCACACATGTGATGTTACATGTGTGAAATTGTGAAATGCTGAGTTTGAAAGACTAGGTGCATGTAAACTTTCGGTCTCAGCTGTACATATAGTATATTGCACAATATCATCAAGATCCATCAAAATTGACTAGAGCATTAATAGAAAATACATGTCTTGTGCCGTGACAAGACCAGAGCGCTTCTGAAAAGTAGCACGTTATGTGAAAGGTGTTTGTTTTTTATTTCTGAAGCCTCTACTGGACGTGCTGTAAGAACACCATATGCATCTTATTCCTCTCAGCAGCGCAGCAAGTGTGATTATTTTTATCTCTGAACAAAAATGTGTTATTTTCCCTGCCCTAAAGTTCTGACCTGTTTGTCAGTCTTGTGCTGGTATGTCTCAGCTTTTTGTGCAAACATAGGGTTATATAATTTAAAATAAATAGGCCTACATTTCACTGATGATTTTTAAATAGTGAAAGTTGCTCATTCATTATTTTAAAAGATAAATGTTTCTTTCCTTTTAATTGTTCATCGTTATTTTAATCTTTTAACCAGCAAATATCGCGTGATCTTATCTCCAAATAAATTTATTCTAAAGATCTGATTTTCTAAATGCATGAAAACTATGTCAACCATTATGAATCCAAATCATATGTAACTATGCATATAATTCATAAAATACCCAAAAATATCTCACATGGGGTAGTTTATAACTAAAATAAAATTGTGAAACATTTCCTAGGAACGTGTTTTCTTCTTCTTCCTCTTCTCATTATTGTTATTGTTGCTGTTAAATTAAGCAAATTAAGTAAATTCTACATCCTTAATGGAAATATATTTATTTCATTAGCCATAACTAATGATTTCCACATCACACATGACATAAAGGTATGGGATAAATCCTGACCAGGAGTCACTGCACTTTATATTACTGTAATGGTAGGGTGTAAAAACCCAGGGTCAATTTTGAAGGTCATATAACATTAATGCCTAGCTCGTTTGTGAGTCAGAACAGACCCTCTGCTATCTGCTACGCCACAAACCAAAGCACTCTCTCAGATGTGCATGACTTTGTACAGCTGAAGATGCACTAAAGACCCGTCAGCCATTACCAGGCATATAGCCATGCAGCTTTGTAGCCCCCCCCCCCCGCCAAAGAAAAAAATATTCCTGTTAGCGATCAAGCATGTACGCTGGTAGCAAAATGAGGAATTTGAACCCCCGTCGACATTTGCTTCAGCCCTTCCAGTCGGCAAAAATTAACCTAAGGGGATCCCTCCCCCCAGCCAGTGAAATCTGCTCAGAAGGCCCTATCGGTATGGCTGCCAGTCCCCCTATGAAATCTATTTCCGGCTACGAGTCTGATAACGGCCCTTCGTTTGTGACTGACTGATACTAAAACCCACAAAAATTTGGCTGAGGTTGGACTGCCTTAATCTCCAGCCATATTACCTACAGATCTTCACTGAATATGTAACCCCAGTCTACAGTGCTGCTTCTGCCAGGATGAAAGCCTCCCTCCAAGTGGCATCCACACACAGGTATAGTACAGCAGGCTTTCATGTATCTGGTCCTTCTCTGAAAAGAGTGACTCTTTGTTATCCACAGTTCTACCTGCCTTAAGCTTTCTGACCGGTTTAGGTGCTGCTCGCAATAATCACGCCATTTAAATTACCTGAACTTAAATCGACCCAAACTTGTTAGTTGAAGGCTCTCTGTCTGTCTACTGGTATTAAATGGAATTAAATATTTTATAAATTTATGCGGAATTTGCTCTTAAACTAGTGAAACCACAGTTGTCTTAAATCTGGTTTTTATTTCAGTGAAATGTAACAGAATAGAATTAATTACTGTAATAACTGGACTTATTAAACTAATGTAGTTAGTGAAAACCCTTAAGGATAAGCTCAGCTGGAAAGATAAGCTGGACCACCTTGCCGGCCACGAGCCCGGAGCTCAGTGTGGAGACCTCTGCTCCAGATCGTGTCTCCTTCCAGAGAAGCTGCTGTCGTTACATAACGGTGCCCGTGAGGCACTCAGTGCGTGATGCGAGCTGCCTTAAAGCGATGCAGGGCTGTGCTGTACAGGCAACACACGCCGAGATATTGCCGCGCCAGCGGGAAGTGGGCGCCGAGAGACGGCCGGCAGCCGCTGAGGTAAATACAGCCAAGCGATTTGTTTCTGCCAGAGATCCCAAAAGCTCCATTTTGTACAGTAAGGCACACGACAGCTGTGTTGATTTTTATTTTTTATTTTTTTTTGGGGGGGGGGAGAGGTAAAGGGACTGGGGGGGGGGTGTCCTGCCTCCTTTTAAAACAATTCTTGCTGATTCTGTTATAAGCCATCATAGTTACCCTTGCCTGATATATGTACTGTGCGAGAAGAGTGAGAAAAATAAACAAGGACTCCAGCTCTTACATAAATACAATATCTTGGGGGTGGATAAACTGAACACACTTCAAACGAGGCTGCCTAACGTTTTGATGCTTACAGATGCTTTTTTTCCCAGAGTCTGCAGGCACATCGACGTCCATAAACAGAAACCGACAAAAAAGGGGAAAAACAGATGGCATGAGGGTCGCCTTCTTTGTAGCTATGGCCCAGGGATCCTGGTCTGATTACTGATGTGAGAATGGACATGCACATGTCAATTCATGCCCAGCCTGTGACCGGCAACAACAACAATCAACAGAGGAACAGCACAGAAATCATCCTGCTTTCTAAGCATGCTAAAAATGATCCTTAAAAGCTATGGGGCCACCGATTTCATTTGTAGAAATATGCCCAACGTGAAAGAATCTGAACCCTTATATGAGGGATTCGTCACCCACAATCCACCTAAGGAAGGTGCCCCACTCTTTCAGACTTATATATGCATAATTTAAGAACTGGACCTACAAAAATTCACGGCCACTCTGCAGCCGCTACTTTTTTAATGTAAGGTTTGTGAATCTCATTCATCATTCACACTTCCGGGACAGAACGCAATGTCCCTTTTTTGAATAGCAAGTTCAGTTGAAGTTCAGACAGATTTCCGAATTATTAAAAAACATCATTAGCGGCTCCGGTCTAATAATTATTATTAATGCAAATCCTTATTTGGACAGAAAAAAAAATAAGCTGACTAAGACAGGAAGTGTCTGATGAATCCTATCTGTTGGTGCATAAGGAACCTTGGAGGTCCATCGATGGACGCAGCTGAAGTCACGATTACACGTGTTTCATATGCAGTCCTGCACCATCCTGCAAAAAACTGCCTGGATACGAGCTCCTCCAGGTGTGATGGAGCAATGAGCAAGAGCCAGTCTTCAGACACAGCTACCAGTACAGTAAACCAGTTTATTCTATGCCTCTTATAAAGGACAGAGCTGGAACAAGAGGAAGCAACTGAAGCAGGCAAGGTAATTAGCGAGTGTTTCTTTGCTGCAGACACAGCCTACATGGGCAGATGGCTTTATCACCAGAATATTCATGTCGGAATAGTCCTCAGCAGAATAGCGAGCTGTGCTTGTTACAGACAGCGGTACAGTACACATTAGCATTCTCTCAAAACCCTAGCAACCAGCAGGCACCCATGTGCCTGAAAACGTGACTCTGCAGGAATGGGAGGAGATAAAACTTGGGAGATATTACCAATGAGGCCATGAGTTTGGCCCACTCAGCCCAAAAGCAGTGCTCTCATTGGCTGCTATCGTAGCATCCTGAGAAGGGAAGAAGTGCTTGACTTCTAAAGCTTACACTGTGCGATTCTCTATCAGGTTTCATTTCTGCCAGTGCTCAAGGTTCACTTAATGTATTACACTACACTTAATTACAGGCATGCCCCTGTAGGCCGAGCAAATGTCTGCTATCCTCTGAGAAACGACAGAGAGAGCTTAAGTTAAACAGACAATGGTCACAGCTGTATGCGAGGGACAGCCTAATTCTCAACCTGCTCTACAAATGGAAAAAAATGCTACTAGATTTGCTTGAAGTAATTCATCTTAGATAAAGGGAGCTGTTTGGAATATGAGTAATGTCATTCTGCATCATTTATTTAGTATGGATAAAATATTACTTGGACTTTGTGGCAGGATAGAAAGGCAAATGACAAATCAGCGTTATTAATGTGTCGTATTTCAAATCCAATAACAATTGCATGAGTATTGCAATGCTATACATTTTCAGAATGTGACACAGGTGCAAAGAACTAATGAGTTTAATATAAGCTTTAATATGGCCCTTTGTAATATTGTCCCTCATCTGTAAGGCAATATGCCCTTAGCTGCAACAAGCTACATTTGTTTTATGTATTAAAGAATGGATGTGTGGATGAAGGACAGCAATACAGTAGGTGTGATAGTCAGTGTTTAGTGCCTTTGAAAGGTGCCTTGGTGTGACACTATGGGCACGTAATGATGTAGCACAGTGGTGTGCCCAATCCACGTGCAAGCCACAGGGCCACTGGAGGAAAACCAGTGTTGGGCATCTCAGGTCCAGAAACTACAAATCCAGACCATGATTTTGTTCCTACCACCCAATTGAATATAAAGAGTCACAGTCACAGAGTACTCAACTGGTTGGTAGAAACAAAATCTTTTTCTGGACCTGAAATGCCGAGCACTGAGGAAAACGCATCATGAGTCAGTGGACCTGATTAGCCCCTCCCCCCCCGCACCTTTAATAATTAACCCTAGAAATGCAGAGGTGATGCTGCACAGTTCACAGCTGCAAATGTAATTTCTGGGATGAACAACGGCTGCCTATTCGCCTTTATTCTCAGGCAGGGGATCCCCTCCAGAGCCCTAACCTGCACAGGAAAC